AGGCCTGTGTTAAGCACAATGGAATGGCTGCCTTGTGCGGGGAGGTAGGGTTGAGCTAGGATGATAAAGAGATGGAAGTTGAATGAGAGGGCCTTGTGGCTCAGTTCAGTGGTCCCCTGCACTGAGCTGCTTGCGAGATGAAGGGGAAGGAAGCAGCTTAGAACTGAGGTGCGCTGTGACCCCAGCCTCTGGGCTGGCCTGCCCAGCTGGGCATCTGTCAGCCTGACCTGCTTGGGATTCAAAAGAGTGGCCAGTACAAAGGGTTCCTTGGAAGACTTGCTACGTTCTGGGCCATTCTCTCCGCAGCACGGAGGCCAGGGACAGTACAGAGGCCAGTCTTTGGGCTGGGTGGACAGGCAACCCCTCCAGCCAGGCCAGGCCCCTATCTCTCTAGGACCCAGCAGAGTGGCAGGAGTGATAGCCCCTCACCCACTAGTCCCACCAGGCCCCACTGCCCATTGTCACAGGACCTGATAAGACACCCACTTCCGAAGCCCCCCTCCCCTCTCCCAGGGGCCTTGGCTCCATATAAGGGGCCCAGGAGGCTGAGCACCTCCAAGGCCAGTCCTGACCTCCACTAGGTGCCACACAGCCGCCGCCATGTCTCTGACCAAGGCGGAGAGGACCATCATCGCGTCCATGTGGGGCAAGGTCTCCACACAAGCAGACAGCATCGGCACCGAGGCCCTGGAGAGGTGAGTTCCGACAGGGACAGGGCGTGTGATGGGGCTGTGGGGGAGGAAGGGGTCAGCGAGGGGGCTCAGTCAGGAGGTGCTCAGTCAGGACGGGTGGTGAGAAGGAGTGGGCTAGGTAGGTGGAGAGGGCATGCTACAGGTGCAGACCGCGTCCCTCAGTCCCCAGCGGGGCCTAGCGCTGGGCCGCCACAGACACCTGTTGGAGGAATGAAGGAAGGAACGCTGGTGGGCAGCGGCCAGAAAAAACCTGAGCCTGCCTGCTTTGTGCGTCACGGCCTTCTCGCGTTCGTTTCGCTTTTTCCAAACACTGCACTAAATAGAATTGATCTTGACCGCTGGGTTTGGGGCGCGCCGCACGCTGTGCACCGAGAGCCTGACTCATGCCCCTGCTCCCCGCCAGGCTCTTCACCAGCTACCCCCAGACCAAGACCTATTTCCCGCACTTCGACCTGCACCCGGGCTCGGCGCAGCTGCGCGCGCACGGCTCCAAGGTGGTGGCCGCCGTGGGCGACGCGGTCAAGAGCATCGACAACATCGCGGGCGCGCTGTCCAAGCTGAGCGAGCTGCACGCCTACATCCTGCGCGTGGACCCGGTCAACTTCAAGGTGCGCGCCGGCGAGGGGCGGGGCGGGGGGCGGGGACTGTCGGGGCGCCCCCGGGCCCGCGCTGAACCTCCCACGCCCCCAGCTCCTGTCGCACTGCCTGCTGGTGACCGTGGCCGCGCGCTTCCCCGCCGACTTCACGGCCGAGGCCCACGCCGCCTGGGACAAGTTCCTGTCGGTCGTGTCCTCAGTGCTGACCGAGAAGTACCGCTGAGCGCGGCCCCCTGCGCTCCTGAACCCCTCCCACAGCTCCTCCCGAGTCCCCAATAAAAGGCTGAAGATGAAGGAGTCGGATCCTGCGTTCTGAGTACTGGGGAGAAAATGGGGTGATGGGGCGGGAGACTTGGCGGGAACGCCTTCGGCTCGGTTCCCGCCACCACCCCAACGCACCCCGGCCCGGAGGCAACCCCGGGGATGGTTTTGGGGCATTCTCTTCCCCTATGACCCTCCAGTCCCCGGGTCCGCAAGTGCGTCTCCGTCTCTCCCCGCCCCGCTCCCAAATCGCCCGAATTGGCGCCGTGCTCAGCTTGCTTCAGGTGTGTCGGGACTCAGAGCACTGCTCCTCGAAGCCTAAGGTCAAGGTTCCCGCAGGCCTGGCACCTGCGGGGACCCTGGTGCGGCTCCCCCCGCCAGCCCCCCAGGAACGGAGCTCCCTGCCGGCGCCCTGCCTTCAGGTCCCCTCTGCGCGCCCCGGCCCGACGGCCAAGCACTTTTGTTCGCCCAGTAATTACAGCTTCCTCCCAACGTCCGCAGCCACCGCGGCGGCAGCGCGCCCGCCACCCCGCCAGGTCGATAAGGGGGGTGTGGCTCGGGGGTTATAAGGAGGCCCGGTGCGCGGGCGCGGCCCCCACAGCCCCGCCACACCAGCGCCATGCTCAGCGCCCAGGAGCGCGCCCGGGTTATGCAGGTCTGGGACCTGATCGCCGGCCACGAGGCGCAGTTTGGGGCGGAGTTGCTGCTCAGGTGGGCCGGGTTAGGGTCTCCGGGGACTAGGGGAGGCGGGGACAGGGCTTTGGGAAAGTGAACCCCAACAGGATGCAGCCCACACTCATGCGGGCTGGGCGGGGACCTTGGAGGTCTGGGCGGGGCCAGTCCCAGGGGTTCCCTCACGCGGGCCGCCCTCCGCCCCACGGACCTGCAGGCTCTTCACGGTGTACCCCAGCACCAAGACCTACTTTCCGAACCTGGGCGCCTGCCCAGACCGAGTGCAGCTTCTGAGCCACGGACAGCGCATGCTCGAGGCGGTGGGCGTGGCCGTGCAGCACCTGGACCACCTGCGCGCCGCGCTCAGTCCGCTGGCCGACTTGCACGCGCAAGTGCTGCGCGTGGACCCCACCAACTTCCCGGTGAGCCGGCCCGGCCGGGCTGAGGGTCGCGCGCGCAGCCGGTGCGGGGGGCGAAGGGGGACAGAGCCGCTCACGCGCCCCTCTTCCCGCAGCTGCTGATTCAGTGTTTCCAGGTGGTGCTGGCCGCACACCTGCAGGACGAGTTCACTGTGGAGATGCAGGCTGCATGGGACAAGTTCCTGACGGGCGTGGCCGTGGTGCTGACCGAGAAGTACCGCTGAGCCCGCGCGCCGCGGACCGTGGTCTGGGCTTGTCAATAAACGAGGCCTCGAACCTTCGGAACCCGCGTGTGCGTGGTCTTTGCGGGGCGGGAGGGAATGAGGTCATTGTTGTCGAGAAGAGAAATTAGAGCCCTGACCCGACGGAGCCCCCTGGAATTAAGTGACCACCTACAGGGTCCGAAGAGAACGTCACCCCACGACCACCGTGGGTTTGGGGGTGTTCTCAAGATTTGTGTGTCCTTATTTTCTTTGTTGGTTACCAGGGGTGGGAGGGAAGGGGAGGGAATGCTGTTAGATAGATAGAGATAAATATTGATTTGGGTGAAGAGAAGGGCAATGTACCAAATGTGAGTGACCAATACGGCAGCATTGAGGATGAGAAAGACAGAGAGAGTTACATGGGCAGTACAGACAACAAATATGAACCCCTTTGTAAATACAATACTGAGTTGTCAGTGAAAGCAAACATGGGTATAGGGACGGATAGATGGGTGAACAAGCTAAACAATTATGCATGTCTAAATGGAGAGTGTATCCAAGATCATATACAGGGTTGGCAGACAATGGGCCTCTCGAAGAGTATGAAGGGATGGACACTGGGAGGAGGTAACTATGGGGAGGAAGTGGGAGGGGAGCTGCTGCATTGTAAATTTTGGTCAATGACATGAGACAAAGTATATGTGAACTGCTGTATGAAAAGTGAATTAACTCTGTAAATCTTCACCCAAATCCTAAAAAAAAAAAAAAAAAAAAAGATTTGTGTGTCCTTGGCTCCACCTCCACCCGCCACCCCGTGGAGCCAAACCGTTCGCTAAGCACTTCCACATTAACTCATGCGTTCATTCACTCATTCATTCGTTCCCTCATTCGTGAATATCCGTTCTCCTTTCCATTACCATCTGGTGCCAGGAGCCGCGGGTGGAGATCTGAGATCTTCATCCCCTTTTACAGAGAAGGACACTCGGCCCACAACCAAATTCCTTGGCCAAGCAGAGCTCAGGGTCCATGGTTCTTTGGACCCGCACCCCTTTCCCCTCCTGCTTCTTCCCTCCTCCGGAGGCTTGGTCGGCAGCAAACACCTCGCCCTGGGCCAAGTCCGCCCTTTCCTCTGACCCTCATTGTGCTGGGGGGGGGGGGGCAATGAGTATCCTGAGGCTACCCAGGGCAGGTTTAGAAGCCAGTTCTCCCCAACAAGCTGTGGCACTAGGTGGATAAGTCCCTGGGCTCTCTGCAGCCCCACAGTCACTTGGTCTTTGCAATTGTTCCTGAACTCAGAAGGTTGAAGTCAGAGTCTGGCGCCAGCCCAGAGCCTACCAGACCCCTTCCCTGCGGGGGCTGGGGGGGTCAGCTCAGCTCAGCCACCACTGGTCGCTCTGCCCAGGTGCCACCTCACCCACTCCCCAGGCCTCATCTCCTAACCTCCTAATGACTGTGCTGGAGGAATCGTGGGGCCCTGTCCTAGCTTTTGTGGGGGAGGGAGCAGGGCTAGGAAGGGCCTGGGACTCTGAGAATTCCATAAATCCAAAACAGAGCATTCTGGGTTCGTGCCAGGAGTCCTGGGTGCCCTCCCCCCCCCCACTCTACCCAAGGTCCGCCTCTAGGTCCCAGCAGGGATACAGAAGGCTGTGCCTTGATCAGCACTCCACCAAACTCTGTCTGCTGCAGGTACCAGGACCTGTTATCCTGCCAGCCCCGAGGGCTGCTCCTCCAGCCATCCTTGGCTGAAGGGAACCTTGGAGAACTCGATCCCATTCAACATTTGTTTCCATGTACACTTAGTGAGTCTGTCCCGGGAGGAGGTGGTTAAGAAAGCAAGCTCTGCCCCGGCCCAATACCTGTCAAGGCAAGGTATGGCTGCGAGGGGATGTGCCCTGAAAGATAGCAGAGGGGTCACAAATTACAGAGTTGGACCTTGGCATGTGCTGGACGAGAGCTGGGGTGGCCTGCAAGCCTCTCTCATCCCCAACCACCCCGCCCCCTCAAAGCGCCCACTTCCCTGACCCGCACTCACAGGCAACGCACCAGCCAGCGAGCGCCGCCCACCAGGGTGTGACACCCCGCCGGAGCCATAAAATCACGAGCGCGCTGCCGGACGGCACGCTTCTGGTCTCTACCCAGACTCAGAAACAAGCCACCATGGTGCTGTCCGGTGATGACAAGGCCAATGTGAAAGCCGCCTGGGGCAAGGTTGGCGGCAAAGCTGGGGACTATGGCGCAGAGGCCCTGGAGAGGTGAGGATGCCCTGCTTCCCTGCTCCCCCCCAGGCTCCACACCCCCCCCCCAGGGGCCCTAGTTGGGCTGCGACCCAGCCTGCACCCAGGCCTCAGAGCCCCCTGCGCTGGCCGCGCGCCCTGCACCACCGTCGCCGGCACTCACCCGCCCTTCTCCCTGCAGGACCTTCCTCTCCTTCCCCCCCACCAAGACCTACTTCCCTCACTTCGACTTGAGCCACGGCTCCGCTCAGGTCAAGGCCCACGGCAAGAAGGTGGCAGATGCACTCACCCACGCCGTTGGCCACATGGACGACCTGCCAGGCGCGCTGTCTGACCTGAGCGACCTGCACGCGCACAAGCTGAGGGTGGACCCCGTCAACTTCAAGGTGAGGAGAGCGGACACCTGGGACGTCAAGGGCCCTGTGGGATCTGCAGAGGGGAGGGTCCCCTGACGTCCCCTCTCTCCGCAGCTGCTGAGCCACTGCCTGCTGGTGACTCTGGCCAGCCACCACCCCGATGATTTCACCCCTGCCGTCCATGCCTCCCTGGACAAATTTCTCAGCAACGTGAGCACCGTGCTGACCTCCAAATACCGCTAAGCGGGGGCCCAGTGAGGCCGCTGGCCTTCCTTTTCCTCCCTGCACACGCCTCCGAGTCTTTGAATAAAGTCTGAGTGGGTGACAGCCTGGTGTGGCCTGGCCTCTGTGTGTCTTCGTGAACATGCCGGGGGTGGGTGGGGGTCTCTGCTTGGCCGCCGTCCCTCTGAGGTGGCTGGGGAGGGGAGAGAGAGGCAGAGACAGCAGCACCTCCTTTGAAATCTCCCCGACTGGTGCCCCGTTAAACAGATGGTCTGGATTGAAAACCCACTTTTCCTGGGGTAAACACAGCACCAGACGATTCCCCAGATTATCTGCCCTTCCTCTGAACCCACACAAGAACCCTCCAGCAGGAGTGCGAGGCAGAGAAGGGGGCGGCGAACAGGATGCAGCTGGGGCCCTTGGCGCGCCTGGTCACTCGCGGCGCTTTAGGGGAGCACCCAGTTTCCCCGGCCGCACATGCGTGAGAATTCCCAGTGTGCCTAGCTTGCACCCTGCCCTTCTTTCCCCACTCTCTGGCCCTGTGGCCTCCAGCTTCTCAGGTGGTAGTTCCTCGGTGGTGGCTGAGAACAAGTTCCCAAAGGCCCCTCAGTACCACACCAAGCAGTTGCCTTACAGACACCCCGTGCCCAGCCGCAACTCAGCTGGATAAAAACATGTGGAAGGGGGAGGGCTGCTCATCACCTTCTTCCTGCGTGACCTTGGGCTGTGCTTTGGGCCTCCTCCGAAGGCACTCTTCTCCGCCTACAGCATGGACAAACATAAAATAAACCCCGCCTACCCCTGCTTGCACCGGTTACCTCTTGTTGCTGTTCAAAGGACAGGAAAGAGTCCCTGTGCCCCTCTAGAAGGAGCGGGCAGCCACGTGGGACTGATCCCCACCCCCTGCTCAGGGGACACAGCCACAGCACGCTGACTACTGACACATGCTCTTTTTTCCCCCCTTTTACAAGAACACAATCCCACCAGAGGTACTGGCCTGCAACCTGCTCTTCTCGCTGCCCCCTTCTGCCCTCCCCCCAGTTCACTGGGCTCATTTCTCAGTGGTGTCCGTGCTTCTGTTTTTTAATGGGAATGTCCTGCTGGTCCTTTGTGCACCTTCCACGGAATCTTCCTGCTCTTTGTTTATTGTGGGAGTTCTTTCCACATTAAGAAGGTAAGTCAGCCACTGAACAATGTGCCGAGGCTTGTCTTGGAAGGGCTCAGGCAGGCAGAAGGGGCAGCTGTTCCAGGGCCCAGGGGGACCCCGACAGGCTGGCCTCTAAGTCCCCAGCATCTAATGCTTTTTGTCCTCCAGAGCTAGGACTGGGGCTGGAACTATAAGCAGAACCAGAATGGGCTGGGGAAAGGATGGGAGTAGGAATGGGAAGTGGGATGTGGTGGTCCTGTGGGAAGGAGAGGAGGAGAGCTCGTTCTTGAACCCAAGTCAGCCGGACTCTCCGTCCTCCTGGATCCTCAGGGCAGGTCTTGAGAGATCCAGGGACAGGGCTGAGAACAGAGCAGTGGGCTGACCCTCTTCAACCCACCAACCAGCCCAAAGGCCCATCAGTCACCAGATGGCACCCAGGTGGCCTGAGTGGCTCTCCCTGTGCACACCCTCAGGGTGTGGACCTCTGCAGGGTCCGGCCACTGAGTCTACCAGTCCCCTCCTCTACATCATGACATGCCTATTCTGCAGCCACAGGGACCGCCCCCCACAGGAAAGCTAAGCCTCCGCCCCACTCCACTTAGCGCTTGCTCACCCTGCTGTGTCACCCCCACAGAAAGTCCATCCCCCAATGCCCCCCAGTCTGGTCCACGCACCCTCTGGGCCTTTTACAGGTTTGTGACTATTTACTATTTACTGATGTGATGCTTTGGTTAATGTCTGTGATGCTCACACGGCTGAAAGTTCAGATCTCCACACAGCTGCTTTGTCAAATCAACAACTATTTACTGAGCATGAACATTGGTCAGGCAGAACGTGGCATGTAACTGGTCGTATAACTGTAAACCATGACACTTGGCCAGCGGGGAAAGAGGCAGCCACGCACAGGCACACCAAGGCTCCAGAGGCTGGCCACTGGAAGCGGGGGACCCGGGCTGTGGTGAAGCCGGCCCCCCGGGGAACTAAGATGGAGCCTCCACCCCACCCGCAGATCCTGTGCTCCGTGTCTGCCCCTCCCTCACCCGCACCAGACGGCGTTAAATGAAGATTCTGGCGGCGAGAAAAGGGGCTGTGAGAACCAAGGCTGTGGAGGGGTTTTGATTTGGGAAATTTTCCCAGCTGTGGACTGGGGAGTGCCGTGTCTTCCTTGCTACTCAGTGGCACACCATTGCTCAGGGTCCTAGCTCAGTCTGGGGGGCGGTGTGGGGTCGCTTGCTCCCTTCAGACGCTCAGCGGGGGCAGAAATGCAGGCTCTGTCAGAGGTGCGATGCCCAACAGGCTGGCCCCAGCAGCTGAGGACGCCCATGCAGCTTTGGGAGAGGTGGATGAAGTGGAACGGAGGCCAGAGTAATGGGAGGGAATGCCCCGCACAGACCTTCCGCAGACAGGACAGGGACCCAAGCAGCGCGGCCCCTGCATGGGGGCACCCCCTGCCGGCTGGGCTACGGCCCAGCCCGGGCAAAGCGCCAGCCAGTGAGCGCCGCCCACCAGGGTGTGACACCCCGCCGGAGTCATAAAATCACGAGCGCGCTGCCGGACGGCACGCTTCTGGTGTCTACCCAGACTCAGAAACAAGCCACCATGGTGCTGTCCAGTGCTGACAAGGCCAATGTGAAAGCCGCCTGGGGCAAGGTTGGCGGCAAAGCTGGGGACTATGGCGCAGAGGCCCTGGAGAGGTGAGGATGCCCTGCTT